AGCATTGGAACAGATCCAAGAAAATTGTATTAGGAATTAGGAATATATCCAAGAAATCTGAAAACAGATGTTCAAGTAAAAACTTGTACACAAATGTCTGTAGTAACGTTATTCATAAAAATCAAAAGTGGAAACCACCCAAATGTCCATCACACTGAAAAACTGATCAACAAAATGTGGTCTAGCCATATGATGGAATAGTATGCAGCCATAAAAAGGAATGAAGTCTGGATACTTCAAGGTGAAACATGCTAACTGAAAGAAACCAGACATAAAAGGCCACATATGGTACGATTCCATTTATATGACCAGAATAGGCAAATCCATAGAGGCAGAAGGTGGATGGAGTGGCTGCCAGGAGCTTGGGGAAAAGGAGAACGGAAGTGACTGTTTAATGAGTATGGGGTTTCCTCTTGGGGTGATAAAGATGTTCTGGAATTAGAAAGTGGTGATGCTTGCACAACCTTGTGAACATAATAAAAACCACTGAATTGTCCATTTTAAAAGGGTGAAATTTATGGTGTGTGAATTCCGTCTTGATAAATACCCATATATATACATGAACTAAGTGAATATAATTTCATCTAAAGCAAGGAAATGTGACATGCTGATTACAACCAAGTTTAGCTGGAAAATCCCAGGGTATGATGTCTGGACCCGGGGTCTACACGCTAAGTCTGTGGCCTGCAGTCTTCACCTGTAAAATGAGGGAACACCACTACCTGGTCACAAAGACCAAATGGGACAATGCAGGTAAGGTGATGAGCAAGGTGTGCCCCGCAGTCAAGTGTTCATGAACATTGGTTATCTTCACCAGCTCCCTGGTGGAAGGAAAGAGGAAGCGACGTCTGTCCCGCGTGAGAGGGACCCCAGCCCAGCCCGCGCCCCCCCCACCCCCGGCCACGGCCCTCACCTCGGGTGTCAGCGCGTTGTTATCCGAGGTCTGACTGGACAGCAGGATGTGGGTGAACCCCTCCTCCTTCCGCACCACGATGTCTCGAAAGCGACAGTTGCTTTCGTTCTGGCGGACGCTGTACCTGAGCCTCTTGTCGAAGACGTAGTCCTTCTCCGCGTCCAGCTTCCGCTTCACGGGGCTGTGCAGGTTCAAGCCCCCGTTGGTCAGGGCGGAGCCTTGCAAAACCAGAGAGACGAA